CTTTCTGTGATGCTTGTGCAGAGAGTGACTTCAAAACAAGGATTTGAAGGATATGAAGAGGGCCACGAAGTTGCTAAGAGGACTGGAGCATCTGCCCTATGAGGACAGGGTGAGGAAGCTGGGGCTGTTCAGCCTGGAGAAGAGAAGGTTGTGTGGAGACCTCAGAGCACGTTCCAGGATCTGAAGGGACTACAGGGAAGCTGCAGAGGGACTCTGCAGAGTTAGGAACTGGAGTGATAGCACAGGGGGTAACAGATTCAAATTGAAGGAGGGGAAATTTAGGTTAGATCTTAGGCAGAAGTTTTCCCTGTGGGGGTGGTGAGACACTGTCCCAGGTTGCCCAGGGAGGCTGTGGCTGCCCCAACCCTGGCAGTGTTCACAGCCAGGTTGGCTAAAGCCTTGAGCAACCTGCTCTGGTGGGAGGTGTCCCTGCCCAGGGCAGGAGACTGGGGCTGGATGATCTCTAAGCTCCATTCCAAGGCCTAAAATTCTATGATTAAAGCACAGCTGGTGTACTCAGAGGTGAAAAGTTCCCCATGCACATCTGAGATAGGAGTCAGAGCAGGAGATGTTCATGCTTTGCTTTCACTGCCCAGTGCAGCCACTTTTCTAAAAACTAAATCCAGATTTTTAGACATCAGAAGACTCACTCTGGTGTTGGAGCCTGATCAAGCACAAAAAACATCCTCAGCCTTCAGAAAAATAGCAGATGGCTGCAGATGCCAGCTCCTTCGGCCAGGCAGTGCTTTCGGGGAAGAGGCCAAACTTGTTGTGCTGCTTCCCAGATAAAACTCTGCGGAGCAGCAAAGAGCCACAGAGAACTCCCTGGAGGAGGAGGAGCATCCAAACCAGTGCATTCCCGTAATGTTTCAAGGCTATGCATACACTCTATCCAAATATGTTCTCTGGAGAGAAGAGGGACCTACAGAAGTGACTCTGTCTGGAAATGCTCTTAGAAGTTTCTGAGCAGTTGTGTGTACTTGAAGCTCCAGTCAGACTTGTCAACTCATTAATAACAAGCTAAAAAAAAAACAGGCCTGGGGAAGAGTAGATAATTCAATCTCTACATGCTTAGCTGGTCTTTGGAATATCAAGTGTGAGACTTTAAACTGGTTGGTTCTTGTCACCTACTTGGTCTTACTACTCCTCTTGGAGTACTTACTACACCTCTTGGAGTCACCTACTTGGTCTTACTACTCTGCTAGGGCCCATCCACCTGCACAGATCCCTGGGGATGCTGCTGCAGTTGCAGTGACTGTATCCATGTGGCACTGCAATGAGCAGTGGCATCTCTGCCTCTCTTTAAGGAGGTCATCATGGGTTTGCCTCTGCACAAGATAATATTCTCTGTGCTGTACAGAAATGGGCACAAAGAACAAACACAATCTCTTCCATAAATAGGTGAGCGAAAGGATTTATGCACTCTGTAAGACTTAAAACTGTGTGGGATGCACATACCTTGTGCAAGAGGAGACATGTCACCCTTCATGTGGTGACTCCACTTCTGAAGACGACTTACTGCAAGATAAACAATCCAGCAGCCAATAACCCAACTGGTGTGGACTGGCATTACTTGGTTCTCCAACAGCTCTTGTTTCCCATCAATACCTGCACAGGTAATATGGTGTCAGGCTGTGCTTGCTTGATGACCAAGGACTTATGGGGCTCAGACAACTCAGTGACTTTAGGCACTCAGAGCTGCAAAGCAGTGGGAACGTCTGAACGAGCCGACAGTAATGTGATACACACACCAAAGCCTGGTCAGCCACAGGGGCCTTGTAAAAACCTGAGGTGCAATTAGTTTCCATTAAAAAAAGTCTTTTCTTTTGTCTCAGGAGTCTTGAAATGGCTGTGATACAATTGAAACCAACCCAAAAAGGAATGACAGTGAAGAGTGGGGAGATGCTCTTTTCTGGGGAGAGTGGGCTGGTAACGTCCTTCTGGAAGGACCTCAGACAGAGTGGTCACTTTTGATTACTACATAATGTGAGTAATTCTCTGGAAAGACCAGTCCTTTCCTCCTGAATCATAGCAGAGTGGGGGAAAAATAACACACTCTAAAAACAGACAGCTGGGCAGCCCTTGGAGCCGCCCAAGGTTCCTGTGCAGGGGCCACCACAGAGAAGCTGCAGGGAGTGATGCCACTAACCCTGTGCCCTCTGCTCTGGGGTGATGGCTCCAGCCCTGGAGCTGAGCTTGGACCACAACACACCTACTGATGTGGCCACTGGTAGGTACCATAGGTAATGGAGCACTAACAACACACTGAAGAGGTTTCCTCACCCAGTCCTTCAACCCATGCCTTCTCCCAATTCC